ACACACACACACACACACACACACACACACACACACACACACACACACACACACACACACACACACGGCTATTTTTTTAGCTGCTCCCTTCTGCAGGGGTCGCCACAGTTTGTGAACTCATGTGGAAGATTTGGCGATTGTTTGACGCCAGACGTCCACCCTGACACAAACTGGGCTCAAACCTGCAGTTCTCACTACYGAGCTTCAGCAAACTGTTATTAAAAGCTGTTTCCAACAAACATTATCAGCCACACAATACTCTATTGTTGCTCGAATTATTAAAAATGAATTGACCAATTTTTGTATGACAGGATCAGTTTTGATGTCAATGTGAAAAACACTTTACACAACACCAGARAGAAAATTTAGAGGTGGTTCTCCGAACTGTCTGAGAAGACAGTGGGTAAGTTTCATTCAGGAGTAATTCAACATAGAAATCACAACAAATGTCAGCTCAGTCATTATCCTGCTGGCTTAAAACTCAAAAGACCCCACAGACCCCACAGCTCAACCTCTAATTAAATAACTAATTTTAAAAAAGAGGTGTCAGACTTTTATGTCCAAGCATTTAAACATTCAGCACATTCACATTAATGTTTAAAATTATAGCATTTAATTCATATTCTAAAGGATAACTCACTGCCTTTAAAGTTTTTTGAATAAAAAAAAAATACATCACAGAAGAATCACAAAAGAGCCGACAAATAGCAAGCGTCAGAAAAGTTGTGCATGCTTCAAACCAACGCATAACTATTTAGCAASACACAAATTCATAGCCTTTCTTCATGTTGAAAAACTTATTAGTGAAAAGTCCATAGATTCTCACCCGAACTGTCTTGAAGGCAGCAGGTTGTTCTGCCACTTTTCCAGGTCCTTGAGCTGGAGATCAAAACGTGGACTAATAACACCGCACTGAAAAATAGAAATAAAATGCCCATTTCATTACATAAACATAAAACACAATGAGTCACAACTGTAGTATTTTGTTTTCAGTTCAGTTTTTTATTTAAAAAATACTACAAACCCTTCCAAACAGGTGATAAATCTTAAACCAGACTTAATCTTGGTCATTACAAAAAGATTTAAGTGAAAGATCGATGCAGTTTTACCTTGTTCAGCCTTCCTGTGAGATTGACGACAATTTTTCCAGCTCTGTGATCGTCAATGATCTCAAACTCACCAATGTAACCTGTTGGAAGAAGTTAAACAAAATCATAATGTTTACGATGCACACATCTCCACCATCCATCTTAAAAACACACATCTGATATGCATTCATGTTTAAACTTTCACTACGCATCATACAATAAACTTGACAATTTCACCAATCGGATGATAGAAACCTACTCACCGTGCTTCATCATGACGGTTAGGAAGCGCACAATAACCTTGGAGCAGGGCCTGATGAGGACCTGGCGTTTCCCACGCTTCTCAGCATTGTTGATGCTTTTGAGAGCATCCGCGAGAACGTTCATGCGCACCATGATGCCTGCAACCACAAAGAACTTCAAGTTGTCAAAACCGTCACACAATCTCACAATTATTATTTTAACAGATTCAGTTATGTTTTGTCATATTTTCATACTTGGAGCTCATGYTCTTCACTACTTTACACATGCTGTTTTAGACAGAAACATGATAAACTGGAATTAAATCAAGAGGTGTACAGCTAGCAAAGCCTGGCTAGCACTACTTTAGCATCTCATTTGAATCATTGCTTTGACAGCAACTACAACCACTTTGACAGACTACTTTGGACCTATATTTTTGTACAAATCATGTATTCGTTCACAGCAACGATCCTTTTCCCTGAAGAAAAAGTAACTCAAGAGTCCAACTAAAGCATGGTCCATCCTAAGACTATAGACACTACTTAGCTTAGCCGTCTGCAATGACCGGGACGCATATTACTTTCAGTAAGACACAACCGTACACATACTAAACCACCCACAACATTTACAGACAGTGGACATGTTTTTCTTTAGTTTAATAGTTAAGTTTTTTCGGGGTCATGGGTTTTCTAGGCTCTTTGAACGCATCGGTTCTCAGGGCCGAACAGAGGCAGAAATTCATAAAACAAATGTGACGCATTCGTTTTATTAACGGAGGAAATTATCATCCCAGATGATCACAGTGTGCTTTATCTTCAACATATGGACATGAATTCATCTTTTATCATTTAGATGCTTTTGATTCGTTAAGGATTGTAAGTGACTCTGTAAAAATACATCTTACCGGTTCTGCAATATGGCGGAAAGAGGAAGTAGAAAAAAACGCCAGTGCATTATGGGAAAAAATCCAAGATGTTATACGTACAAGATGATTCACTCCACCAGAGAAAGGTTGCTTTTTCTGCCCTAAAGTGCGCGTTTTAGTAAAATATATAAACAATTAATAAAAATTAATAACAAAAAGACTAAATCAGTGAGTAATATGTATTCAAGAGTTTTATCTTTCATGTTTTTATTTCAATACATAGCTACCAGTTTCGTTCTGTTTCATGAACACTTGATCATGTTAAGGGAATAATACATTAAGATAATTGAACCCTTATATTAAAAATGTTTTATAAAGTTTAGACTACATTTCTATCTGTAATTTTAGCTTGTAAAATGTTTGCAAACCATTAAAATAACAATGATTTCTTGAAAGAATGCGTATTGCCTGCCCATGTTTCATCCTTTAATGAAAAGGGACCAAGATAGACCTATTTCTGTCAAAATAAACCACAATACGTGTCTTATGTGGTAATGTTGTGAATGACTCTCAGCTACCATACCAAACTGTAGCTTAATATTTGAAAAGTTTAAGTTTTAATCAGTTTTGTGAATGCTATTGCCTTGTTGTGAGGGGCTTTCTCTGCTCAGCTGAAGATGAAAACCCAAAGATTATTTTTCATCAAAACTCAAACATTAGTTGAAGAGACTGTACAGACAGAGATACAAGCAACAGTATTTTTCTGCCTTCACAATCAGTGACAGTCATCATGTATAAATACATTGTTAAAACCCTTTTCTGATGATAAAGGAACAGGAGTTGTATAAATGCTACTGTATGCAAACCATTTTAAATATTTAATATTAATTTGGTCACTTTCAGTAAGTCCATGTTGCCCAAAGTTTGCTCCAAAGATGATCTTCATTTGTGAATTCAGTTCATGTTTATTGTTACATCATCTTGGCTTTTCCCAAATAAACACTGAAAATGAAGATGCAAAGAAAGAACAGAGCAGAATATCAGATCCACATTGCCAGGTTTTATAATTTTATTTATTGTTTTTACATGTACATCAGCTAAGTTTACTAACGGACATAAATGAAAATCATTTTTAAAACGTCAGACGATCACAACATGACAGGATAAAGTGTCTGACAAAAGCTACAGACAAGAATATTAATAACATGATGTATGGCTWTAAAGTAATCTGAGCAGTAAATCACCACAGCGTTTGTTTTCTTTTAATTAAACACTTCACATGTCAAAGACAGTCCTCTTTCCCCCTCACAGATTATACTGTATAACTAAATATGGAACAGTGATCCTTCTTTGCTGGCCYGCAAATATAATGTGTCATTAACTAGTCAAACTATTGTTCTGCATGCATAATAAAACAAATGTATAGATATTATAGAACGTATATACATAAGTTAACATATCAGTAGCTAAAAACAAAACGAAGCCACAAAAATCATCAGTGTCCTTGTGCACAAAATATAAGTAACAGTGACTGATGTTTATGTGTTGATGATTTGTTACTGGATTATAAGAAACAGAACATAGTTGTTTCATATCAGCTGATTTTAAATCACTGTTTAATGAATAAAATCTTTTGTTGTGTAAMTGGCCACTTTTCTAAATAAGAAGTTTATACATTTGATATTTTTGCACAACAGACGCTCCTTAAAACCCAACTATCATGTGGATGGAAATGAAAGTGATCCGGATGAAAGTGTGTTGCAGGTTATGTCGAGCCAKCTGGTTAGGCTCAAAGCTCCTCAGTCCAGAGTGTAGGAATTCCTTCAGCTTGAAGCTCTTTCCTCTGGTTTCCAGTAGAGGGCGCGCTAAACCAAACAAACCCAGATGCAGTGACATACCCACCAGCCTAGTCTCAGAACATGTGGAGCATAATGGAATGCTGAGCAGGACAACATGTAGTAACCAGATTTCTACAGACTTCCTATGGTTACACTAAATATTCAAAACGTTTACTCCCACCATTCATTCTCCTGATCCCACTTCTTGTGTTTTTTATTATTATTATTATGATTATTTTAGCCACCATTACTGACCATGCTGACCAGAGAATCTGCCTCTCCCTGGGGATCAAGGCCGAGCTTCTGGGGGTCAAGGCCCATGGCTACCAGCATCTGGAGCAAAGTCAGCTCCTGCTGGGTGGCCTGGTCCACCAGAGCCGGGCAGGTGGGGTTACACTGAGGCCACTGGCAGGTGTCCACCAGGTGGAAAGGACAGCCTTTGGCGGGGGTTCTGTTGTTGCGTGTTGCCTCCAGACTTCTGTCCCAGCAGTGAAGGGCTCGAGGTAGACTGGTGCCTTTGACTTGAAAACTTATCCAGTTGCTACAGACAGGAAATGCAGACGTCACAAATAAACAAATAGACAACATGACTCTGCAGTGGAACAGTTTCGTACTTGAAATGTTTATTATGCTCCACTGTGACTAAATGGTAAATGGTAAATGGTACTGAACTTATAGAGCGCTTTTTCAAGTCCGTCCGGACCCCAAAGCGCTTTACACTAACAGACATTCACCCATTCACACTCACATTCACACACTGATGACTAAAAGATGGGTTTATGAGATGTGCTAATCATTGCATTCTGCTTTTATTTACTTTTTTTTTTGCACAACTTTTTTAAAATTGGGGTTGAAAATGTGTTCAAAGAGAACAAGAAGTTATTTTGTGACATAAAAAGAAACAAAATATCACTAAATTTTGTTTCTTACCTTCTGGTTATAACTGTGTGGGAAAGGCAAGATGGTGCAAAAACAGCCCTGAAATAAATCACAAGTGAAAATTCATCTTTRGTATCTGTTTAGAAACAACTTTGTTTTTGTTTTTTTCAGCTAATGGGTAAAATATTTGGACAGTTCAGTGTCCACTGTCATTGCAAACCTACGTGACATCACTCARGGAGTTTTTCAGCTCCAGGCCCAGATTCTGTATGTACTGCCACTGCTCCTCAGACAAACTTTGACCCCCCAGGTAGATGTTTTCTCCTCTCAGCTGCTCCTCATCAAACAGCCACTGAACAATAAACAGAGGAGCTACAGAAGAAAGAAAGAGTTAAATACACTTAAAACATATAATGAGAATACAGAGCTTCTAAACACTTACAAAGATCTTTTGAAGTGGGGTTCTGTGGAAAAGGTAATGAACAAATATCTTACCTGTTGTTGATAGGTTTTAGAGTGACCTCAGTTTGGAGTTTCTCTGACTGAACGAGTGAGCTAACAGCTAGTGAATTGATTCTATCTTAAAATAGTTCATGCAAATGCTATTTTATATGTTTTATGAAACTGAGAAGTGTGAAGATTTATAAACGAGTGTTTGCGTGAACAGGTTTTTGAGGCTGGAGTCATTTTAAAAAAGGCAGAAACGCACTTTGATCTCAGTCTTGCTCAGACTTAGCTCTTTGATGAGGTGAAATATAAACTCTTTCTTGTTACTGCGGTTTTTAAAAAAGCTATAAACAAAAGATCAAATATTCACAACTTTTTTAAAGGGCGGGGGTACTATGTATTTTCCAGGCACATACTTCCATTCTATGCCATAATCAAGTAACTATATTAGCTTCAGTTGTTATGAAAATGCTGTAAATAAGAAAAATAAATTTGACTTTGCATCATAGTCTATCAAAGCAAAATCTTGAAACTGGCCTCTGTCTCTTTAAGAACCTCCTACCATCTCCAACACTCCCACTTCAGCACATTTTCATGACAACACTTCGGGGGAGGGGTGCTCCGTTGGGCAGGACCTTGGCTGCAGACTGAGCTCCAGGGAGGAGCTTTTGTGTAAATAGGTGGAGCTTTGTACCAGCAAGTGTTTAGGCAGCTCCACAGGAAATTCATGGATTTCTCAAACATGCTTGAAAGAGTCAAAGCAACACTCTGGGTATGTTTATTTTTATGAGGGAATGACATTATAACATTATAGGACAAAAACGTCCATGTTGCTTAATACCTCCTCCACCCCTTTAAAAGCTTGACCTGTTAGTTGGTCCATATTAAAGCTCACAACCTTTTTGATAAACAAATACAAWAGTCAAAACTCACAAGTTAAAGTCGAGTAAAGTCTGTGACCGAAGAAGCACTGCCATTCCTCCCCTCTCTTATAAAGCTGCCGACATCTATCAGGCACCGCTCCGTTCCACAACCTGAGGAAACAGGACACGCTTTTACAAATAAAAAGTATCATTTAAAATGTAAATAAGCTAATTAAAATTTTATGTTTTTGTCATAAAACATCTGAGTTGTTAAAAATCACCAAAATGGAACAAATAATGARTTCCAAAGGGGAAGTTTTTGTTAAAACTTGTAAGGTTTCTCTTAGATAAAGCGTAATGTATCATTGTTAACTTATGTGCATTACTGTTGCATTATGGGATACATTCTGCATGGACACAGATGAAAAGCATGCTGTAGACAGTAATTAATTRTTTTATTTCTATTGTCTTTATAAGGACAATAAATGTGTATTTGCTGATTTGCTTTGATTTATTTCACAAAATGTTTGGAATTTTTTTTAATATTTGACACTTGAACACGAGGCTTAAACAAGTGAATTCTGCAACATTTGAGCCTGAAAGTCTTTCATTTTTGTAGTTTTCATGATGTCGCGTGAAGACCACTGGACCTRTGCAGCTAATAAACCTTATTTCTTTTTATTTCCAGGTTCCACATCAATGAAAGAAAGTTGTTCAGTTTAAAACTTGCCAGGTCTTACCTGAGTCCTAGCTTGATAGCATCATCAGGCGAGCAGGAGACGGTCTCGGGGCAGTTTGGAGATCTCTGTTGTTTACTCTCCAGAAACCARCCAGAATCCACCAGACCTCGGACCTGAGCTTCGGCACCGAGCTGCTCCAGCTGACTGGCAACCCGCTCGATGTTCAGCAAAACACCTGTTCCACCAGCGCTGCAGCCAAGAAAATCAATAAATAATTTGGCTTTGAGTTTAGACGGTGGCTGTTGTTTTAGGCCGTGGGTGTTTCCCAACAACCATCCTGCTAACCAGGGAGGTATGTTCACCATTACAGGCCAAGGCCCTTTAATAAACATTATGTCACTGATCACAGTTGACTGTAAACATCTTTATTGCTGACAAGAGGATGCACCCAAAATAGGCCTTCTCGTGTTTTAATAGGCAYAGAGGTGGTCCAAATGGTACAGAGGGGGTTGGATCCAAAAGCTGCTGCGATCATCAGAGTCTGAACAATAAAACAAACTCACCTGGTGCCAGAAAGCAGGACAACCTTGGCCTGCTTGATTCCTTTAGGGATGAGATCTTTGATGACCTCACGGATAATAAGGGATCCCATGAATGTATACTCAGCTGTGAGGAGAGATCACAGAAAACACGTGAGAATTCAGATGTTCTTTTATTAAAAATAGAAAAAAAACAGAGGTAAGAGGTAAGACTTACTTGTATTTGTGTTCCTCTCCTTCACTTTCTCTCTGCCTTGCCGTGTCCTTGGAGCAGGGGTTGGAGCAGGTCCTGTTCCACTCCATACATCACTGGAACAGTACGGGATGAAGCTGCAGAAAGAAGACAAACATATTTATTTCAGTCCCTTGTCTCAGTAATAAAAGCTGTTTATAATCATTATTGATTATCATTATTTATTACAGTCTGCACTGATTTAATTAATTTTTATCTGCACTTGTTCTGGGCTCAAAATGTGGGTTATTGTGTGTCACCCACAAAAACCCAACAAAAGTTTGAAATGCTCTGATACATCAGCTGCATTTATAAAATTATCTTCTCACAAATTAGAAAGAAAATATTCATATTTGCACAAGACCGTGAGAAGAAAGGGGGCAAAGGGTGCTGCAGCTCCACTATCACTGAAAAAAAAAAGATTTTTGGGTGTAGTAACCTTTAT